GTTTTCCCGAATCGGGGGGTAATGACCTAGTAATATAGCCCTCCACTCCCATGGCCATTCTGCACCGGGGACAATGTGTCGCCAGATCCTGTCCCGAACCCTCCAGAGCAAAACCGAAGCCGAGCATTGGAGGAAGATGTGTTCGATTGTTTCGGCCCTTTTCCTCCCCGGGTAACCCCTGAGACAGCTATGGCACCAGGGTAACGCCCGACCTTGCTGCTCCAGCCGAGTGTGATCTATCAACCAGTTGTTTGTTGGCAGGCATCGGTGCGCTATTTGCCATTGCAGGGCCGAGATCTTAGCGGGTCTGTTCCTAGGTTGAGTGAACCAACCGATCGGCTTGAGCAAGTCTCGGTCCACGTTAAGATGTCGATGTCACCTGTCCTCAACCGTCTCTCGCAGTCTTCGTTTGGGACGGAGCATACGATAGGCTGATCTGGTTTTTAGATTATAAAGTGTTAGTTGTTTTGTCGGCCCTTGTCTAGTCGTGGCTCCCTGGGACCAATGCCACTCCTCGGGGTCGAAGGGGAGATCCTCAATCGGGGTTGTTGGGCGGTAGGCACATCGTCCTCTGCCCATGTCCAGAACTCTGATGCGATATATGTTCGTTCCGTCCTTCCAGATAAAGGGGTCCTGGCTGCCCCGTAGAGTGCCATCCTTTTGGACGGAGAAGAGCTCAATTAGGGCCTGTGTTTGGTCTACAATGTGTATTTGTCCTATCTCCTCCTTGTGGCCGGGCAGGCAAACCCAGTCTCCTTCTCTCAATTGCGGCCCTTTTCGAAGGGTGCTATACCATTGTAGGGGGAAGCTTTCAATGAGTTCGTTTTGCGTCGATTCCGTGAGATGGCAGTAGCGTAGCCATTCCCGCATCCTTTCTGGACTCTTCCAACATCTTGCCTCTATATCCCACAGATCCCCTACCCTGCGAGCACCATGTTTAACCCAACCTTTCCAAGGGGCATCTGAGCTGCATCTTACCTGGCCCAAGGCATCCGTAATCAGTCGATTCCCAAATAGCGGTTGTCTGAAGATTCCTTCCCATCGATCCGGATTGGGTCGGTCGGGCGGCGGGAGCTTCCTCCATGTGCGAAGTAGGCGCAGCCAATGTGTGCTCGCGGGGTTCCCATTCTTATCTTTCCTTGGAAGCCTCCAGTATCTGTCTTGTAGCCATACCAGGGGGTCAGTCTCCGGGGGGGCCTCTGGTGCCAGGGCAGCGATTTGCGCCAAATCACTGTTCTTCTTCAGCAATTTCACTGTTCACTCCTGGAGCCTCAATTTTCACTGGTTTAGTTTTCTCTCTTTGGTAGGAGAGAAAATTAAGCCAGTGAAAAAAATGAAAAGAAGAAGAAGAAGAAGAAGAAGATTCAGTAACCCGTGTTCTGCAGCAGTCTGGGGCCCCAAAACTGTGCACAGACAACACAGGCCAAGCCCGGCCTGCGCCAGGCAGTGCGACCACGCATTGCCCCCTGGAAAGTCAAGGGTCAAAGTCAACTGTCAGGTCAAAGGTACAGTGCCCAGGCCCTTGATCAAATACACTCACTTGTTGTGCGCAGGTACCTAAACAACATCAAGGCCACAGGTAATTCTGTTTCACACCAATCTAGGCCATCATCTGCATTGAGATCTCGACGGTTGCGGGAGGCAGCACCTGGGGTCCAGACCCCACGTCAACGCTACAAAAGCGTTGACCTCTTGGCTTGGAGGAACATTCTGTCTTGTGTCAATGCTGACTTCACGCGCTGACAACGACGCTAGCGCGATGCTGCGACGCTGGCTGGGCGCTGGCTCTACGCTGGCAATTGGGAGAATTACGGCGACGCTCTGCTGACTCTGCATGGTGGCTGGCTTGCAATTGTCTTCTGGGCATGCTGATGTGGCAGCTGCCACGCGCTGCCGCTGACGTGGCCGCTGCCACGTATATTATTATTGTTGACGTGGCGAGGCTACGCAACTGGCATTGCTGTTCTGTTTCGACGACATTCGGGAGGAGATCATGACTGTGGGACGATAGTGGATACGTGCCTGGTTATCTTGATGTAGACATTGCTCCAGCTCGGTGATGAGGACTGATTGACGTGCCACGTGGCACATTGTGTTAGAACTTCAAATTCGGGTTCAGATGATTGATTACTGAGGTGGTGATCGAGGAGAGAGCCCGAAGCAGAAGTGGGCATTGGGCGTCGGTCGACACACCTCGGGGACGTGATTTCAAGGATTTCGTCTTCGTTCCACCTGTCCTCGGAGCCGATTTTCGAAACCGAAATGTGAAAACACTCCGAGGACAAATCCTTGGGCTCCGAGGATTTTCTAGCTAGATCGTCCTCGGCTCCAAGGGACATCGTGAGGTCCCTCGGAGTCCGAGGATCCGCGATAATCGGGGTGTCGGCGGCGAGTCGAAAAGGGAATTTGGTGGTCGGAGGTGGTCCAGTGTTGGTCCTCCGTGTTGAAGACGGACATCGCGAAGTGCCAACGTCCAAAACGTCCACGAACGGCCTAGTCTATTTACCGTTGTCGGGGATTGGCGGTACGTCCCTGTGGGTTCATCGGGCGGCCCCATGGCGGTGCCGTGTCGGGCATCAAACGATTTCGGGCGGGTCGTGGAGGTGTCGTAGCGTTACCGCGGGCTGCCCAACGGTCGGAAACACAAATTTCTTCAATCGTCCACCCCCGGCCGGTGGCTGCAGCAATTTCGTACGTTGTCGTCTTCCCTCCTGCAACGTGTGTCTCCGGGCGCCGCGATCGCGATAGCCAAGTGCGTCCCCTCTCCTTCATGGCTGACCTGTGCCGCATGCTGCCTTTGTTGCTGCTTGCCGCTGTACTGCTGCTTGCTGTTGTCGTCTTTCATATCTACATCCTCGGTCACGTCTCTGGGAGGAAACATAGGCACCGAACGACGAAGGCGACCGGGAAGATGGAGATGGTGCAGACGAAGAGGACGATGTCCATAGGGGCGTGCGGGTCGTCACGTCAGCGTTGTAGCTCTGCGGAAGGCGGCAGGCGCCCATACGACCCGACGCTGTACAGCCACCTGCCGTCCCATGAGATTCCATTGCCTCCGAGTGACGACGACAGCGACGAGCCCCGATCATCAACGGTTCCTCTGGGCAGCGGTTCGACGCAGGATTGGATGGGGAGCCAGCTGTATAGACAGCCCTCGACGCCAACGTACACTGATCTGCTGGAGGGGCGGACCCCGGTTGGTTATGACGGGGGGCTCGTAGATCTCAGCTTCGGTTTGAGGTTTGGGAGTGGCCAGGACGTCACGTACACCGTTCTCGTGAACCCGGGTTCTGCCAGCAACCACACAGCGCCTTCGGTGGGGCCGTGTGGCCTTCTTGACACCCGCGGCCGGGGTTCTGGTCAGTCGGGCGATGAGCGTGGACTTGTTTCGCGAGGGCGGACGACAGTGGGTACAGCAGGTGTTCGTGCGGAGGGGACGAGGACAGGTGGATCGACAACGGCAGGCGACGCAGTCCACCGAGGAGGGGATGACGCTGATGGCTACGCTGCGGAGGTCGCGGGGCTAGAGGTTTGGGATGATTACCGGCGACAATCGCGACAATCTAGCACGCCGCCATAACGAGAGGGGTGACGAAGATCAATGTACGGGCGGATGACACACCTGGCAATTGCGACGGTGCGGGTGGTGAAGATTTGTCGGCGGGCGATGGGGGCAACGACAACGACAACGACGACGACGACGACGGGGGGATGGAGATTCGTCCGCTGGGGAAGAAACGGGGAGGGCCGAGGGCGACGAGCAAGTCCAGCGAGCCGCGCGCGGGGCGGAGAGGCGAGAAGACTGCGGGAGATGCATCGGCAGGCGGCGGAGCGAAAAGCTGGGATTTTTGGACCGTGGAACACATGATTGATCTTGTCAGAGCTAAAAGCGACCAGGATTTGCATCTTGCTGGCCTCGGCCACAATATGGGAAGGATGAAGACGAAGACATGGAAGTGGGCCGACATCGAGAGCAGGCTCGTGCAGATGGGGGTGACGACTAGACAGGCCGATGACTGCGGGAAAAAATGGGACAACCTGTACGTGCAGTTCAAAATTGTGCACAAGTTCATGGGCGAATCGAGGAAGCCTGATTTCTTCTCACTTGCGCCGCAGGAGAGAAAGGAGCGGGGGTTCGATTTTCGGATGGACGAGCGTGTGTATTCGGAGATGATGGCCATGTCCAAGGGCGATCACACTATACACCCCACGAATCTGGCGGACATGGGTGCGGCGGGAGGTGTTCAACTGCCAGGCCGGACTGGAGGTCGCAACGAATCAGGCGGTAGTGACGGATGCAGGGATGGGCAGGACGACGATCAAGGATCGACACGGAATTCAAGTTTCAGCGGCGGTGCTGTGGGCGGGTGCGGCAAAAGGAAGAATGTGAGACAACAGACCTTCGACACGATTGCGGAAGTCATGAAGGACCACGGGAGTCTGATGGCGACGACGGTGGACAGCGCGAGCAAGAGGCAGTGCTCAATCTGACTAGGCAATGCGACATTCTCGAGCGAGAGCCAGAAGTGCAGAAGGAGCACTACGTGAAGACGGACCAGGCGAACCTATTGATGTGCGACGCCCTTATGGAGATTGCTAAAGCGATCCGCGAACGATCATGAAGTCGATGGGCCGCACATGTCCAACGTCCACGCGAATGCCTCGTGTGTGCTTCTGAATCGTCGACGTTGCCCCCGTACTTCGTGCTGCTGTGCGGTGGTGGTGGGCAGGTTGTTTACAGAGGACGGATCGTTTCTGCATGCGGTTTCCATTGCACGAGTCGACTTTTTTTATTAGTTTGAAGGGTGTTGATTGCTGTCATGCCCGTCGGCACGTCAGTCGGTTTCAAACTACGATGCCCGATTATTGTTCAATACCTGTTGACGTGACGCGTTGCAGCCAAGCGCAGATTGGGATCCAGCAACGTTTTCTTCTTTGGGGGTGGGGGGGGGCGGGAGATGGTTTGCTGTCGGATAAAGGAATGGGCGGCAGGGTGTTTTTTTTTTTTTTTTTTTGGGTGTGAGGGGACAACGGAGGACAGGGGCGCCTCAACCACGGACCTCCTATGTGATTTTCTAGGGGTGGCGGGCGACGGAAGCGTGCTGGGGTCTTTGGACCTCCACCATGGTCCTCCTGCGCGCCCACATGCGTTGTTGGCCATACGACGGATCACCACAAGCCTTCGGGAAAAAAACGGTCCGTGTGCGATCGGCCAGGGGGCGGGCTGTTGTGGACGGCGTGGTGTGTACACGGTGTGCGGCATTGGCGCACCGCGTTGAAAAGGAGATTGTGGACCGCAGTCCGTACGGCAGTACTCCATTGTCCACGTCTCCGACGGTGTCGTCTGATCACTGATTCCTCGCCGCAAGCCAGCACTTCCCGCCCTTTGCGCCTCCACTCTCAAGCTTTGTGCACCGCGTGCAGTCCCCCCTCACGCACCGCAAGCACGTGCTCTTTTTTCTGTGGCCATCATCGTCGCGGCTCCTGCCCACCACGACTGCGCATCGTCCACGTGCTCCTTCGTCGACGTGGC